AAAAAAAAATAAAAGATTTAAAATTGGAAAGGAAAAAACAAAATTTCATTTTCACAGAAAATTGTTTATATTCAAAATCCAAAAAATATTTACAGGTAAGTTACTAGAATTAATAAATGAATTAGCAACATAGCCAAATGCAAGAGCAAGTTAGGAAAATCAATTACATTTCTATAAACAGTAACAAAAGTTATAAAACATGATTTAAAAAGAGATACTATTATTATAACTAAAAATATCAGATACCTAGGAACAATTTTGAAAGACCTACTGAGAAATCATTATAAATGTTTGAAGACTTTAAAGAATCCTGAAGAAATTGGTGGCTATTATTGGTAGTAAGACTCATTCTAGTAAAGGAGTTATGTCTAATTAAAAACTTGTAGGGGCTGACCAGTTAACTCAGTTGGTTAGAGCATGGTGTTATAACACCAAAGCCAAGTGTTTGGATTCCTGTACCAGCCAGCCTCCAAAATAAAAAAATATATGTTAAAAAATAATAAAATAAATTTACCTATAGATTAAGTACAATACCAATGAAAATCCAAACAAGATTTTTTATGGAACCTGAGAAGCTGATTCTGAAGTTCACTTATAAGAGCATTGAATGGCTTACTAGCAGTTCAATGCAGCAGAGCTTATATATATTGTAGAGCAACAGTAATCAGACTGTGGCATTGGAGCACAATTAAACAAATTAATAAAACAGAGCAAGCAGTCTGGAAATACATTCATGCATATATACAAACTTGCTATATAATGGCGATGGCATTGAAGATCAGTGTGCAGTTATTGCCAGTTGGTTATTCATATGAAAAAAAAAATTGGATTCCTACTTCATACCAGAGTCAAAAATCAGTTTTGAACATATTGAAGCCTTAAAAAAGGCAAAACTTAAAAAGATTTTAGAATAATATACTTTTGGGGGTAAGTAAGGCTTTCTTCAACAAGAAATACTGACAACAAATATAAAGAAAATGAAAAGACAAGCCACAAACTAGAAGTTTGCACCCCACATTGATAAAAATTTTTTTTTAATTTTTAAAATTAAATTTAAAAATTAAAAAAAAATTTTGGCAGATAATCAGTACAGGGATCAAACCCTGGACCTTTAAAAGATTTTATTGGTAAAGAATTTATATGCAGAATGTGTAAAGAGGGGCCGGCCCAATGGCGCACTGATACAGTGCGCCGCTTGGAAAGTGCGGTGGCGCTTCTGCCGAGGGTTCGGATCCCACATACAGACCGGCTGCTCACTGGCTGAGCGAGGTGCGGGAGCAACACCGAGGGTTGCGATCCCGTTGCCGGTCACGAAAAAAGACAAAAAGGAAAAAAAAAAAAGAATGTGTAAAGAAATCCTGTAAACCAGAAAAAATCCAAAAG